ATCTGACAACGACTGGCTGAATATTAGATAAAAGAAACTTAGCTGTACACCTTGCCATAAAATTGGAATTTTTGGAGTGGAAACGAAGGCAGAAATGAAAGTTTCTAAAGAATGGGCAAACAATGAAATAACTTATTTTGGTGAATGCTGAAAGCAACAGCCTCTGTCTTTGTGGAAAAAACTTTTCGATCAGAAGGAAACTGCGGAACATAAAGCTGCGATAAAATTTTTGGCTAAAGCTGAGAAAGAGACCACTGAAAATGTGTTGTTATGACAGCGGAAGTCACGTGACGCTGCTGGCGCATGCGTGACTGAATTTCTCAAATTATCGAGGAAGTCCAAGCAGGATCGAAACGCCTCTTTGTCAGTATATAAGCCTGGCAGAGAAAAGCCAGGGGATGATAAAGCGAACAGTAGCTACAGTGAGTTTCGGGTGATTTATGATTCTGTTTCGAGCTAGTGTGTGTTTTGCATTTGTAGAGAGCAAAGTTATCGAGATTGTGAATTGCTGTGATTTATAGCATGTATTACAACAGTTAAGTTTAAAGTGACGAGAAACGTACTGACTGTGGAATTACCGTGTACAAAAAGTTTGTATCAAGAAAGAATAAACTGGTTTAATCAAGAAAGGACTTGTATCACTGAAGTTACTTGGAAAGAATTTCTTCTGGAAATTAACAAACAAGCAGATATGCAACAGTGTGTTTGAAAGCATTATCTCACAAAAAAGTGATTACCGTAAGAAGGTAGCAAAAGAAGACCAATCATTTCATAATTTTGAATCTTAAAAAAAAGATTTACAAGAACAAAATGGAATTGACATGGACCATATCCTTCACTCAACAAATGCATGTATTAACATAGTGAATTACATTAGTGATGAAATGAAAAAAAATACTAATTAATATAATATAAAAGTAGAATTTCAGTGATAATCAACAAGTCCACTTCTATGAGTAAAAAATCTACCTTAATAGTGTAAGTTCGAATCTGTATCCCAGATAATGGAATGAACTCAGTAGTAAGTTTATTTTTGGACTTGATCAAACTTGAAAAGGTTACTACAAAAGGAATTTTTCATTCTTTACTCGATTATCTTCAGTCTTACAGAATGAATGAAGACTACCTGAAAAGTTATTTACTATGTGTGACATGTGATGGTGCAGCCATGATGTTGGGGAGTAAAAATGCAGTTAAGAAACTGATGAAAGACAAATTTCCTTCTGTAATTGTGTGGCACTGTACTATTCACAGATTAGAACTGTTGGTCTGTGACACTATAAAATCAGTCTCAGGGATCAATATATTTAAAGCGTTTATTGATAAACTTTATGTCGTGAATCATGTGTCACCTAAAAATAGCAGAGAAGTGAAAGTGTGTGTGAACTTGCTGGAGATTCAACTTTTAAAAATTGGTCAATTTTAAGCACTTGATGGTGGTATATAGTTTCCGGTCAGTTTCAGCTGTTTGGGAAACTATGAAGCATTAGTGCAACATTTCGAAGAAGCAAATTATGATTCAACAAGAGACAAGAGGGCTCACAGCAAAAAATTACAAAGACAGAATTTCTACTGGATCTAGGATTGATGTGTGATGCTCTCCAAGAATTATCCAAATTAAGTTTGGACTTACAAGGTCGCAATATAGACTTGCACAAGGCGGATCAAAATATAAAATATAAAAGCTCTTATACAAATTTTTGAAGAAAGACGATTGACCCCAGGCAAATATTATAAAAAGGCCGCCAAAATCTTTATTTCCAGGGAGTTTCACTTCACAACAAAGGCTGCAAAAAGGATCCTCCAATTAATCTGGAAGCTTTTTACAGAATCTTTAAAAAATCAATCAAAAATAGATTGCTTGATAGTGAAGATGGCGATATAGCACAGTGTGCACGTGTGCTTGATAAAAAAAACATTGGTCTGAAAACGTTGATGCTTATTTAACATTCGGAGAGATGGAGGTCAGAAAATTATCAATAAGACTTCAGCTAAATGAAAGATATGATTTGTGGATTTTGTCAGTATTTGATTGAAAGATGGTTCCAGAAAAATTGCAGCATTTGAAACATGCTCTGAGTACTATTCCCATTTCTTCCAGTGAATGTGAACGAGGGTTTTTGCAGATTAATTTTGCATTTCTGTTTATTAAACTTGTTGGACCACCCCTTCCACTCTTTGACCCCAAAAAAATGTAGTCATGGTTGCTCCGAAAACACCACTCAGCAGTAGCAAGGAACGAAGTTGTGATATTGCTTTCAATATTCTGCAGTTATTTCAATGAATAATAGTTTTATTTAGAAAATAATAATGACATAAAATTGCAAATTTTCAGACTTTCAGTTTGTTTCAAACGTGACTAAATTTTGTGAGGTCAGCTGACCTTCTCCTGGAAACTATTAGTTATTTACTACATAGAACTTCTGAATAAGAGATATTTGTAATTGTTTTTTTCCAACATTGTGTACCCTTGTCTTTTGGAGCATTCCTTTGACTGTTAGGCGATAAGTACGAGACCCCTATTGTTATGGCATTCATGTGTCAGGTTTTACACATTGATTTGAAATTGGGCAAAAAATGCTTTTGGTATAGGACCAATTATTTTGCAGTTCACAGTTAAGATGCAAAAAAATCTTGTTATGTGCAACATGTAATGAATTATACATGTAAAGTTTGATTTTTTTACACATGGTCATAAAAACTATCTGTTAAGATTTTACACGTTTATAGTTTTATATCTTTAGTTCACATGTGTTGAAATTATCTTCCAAATATTGTCACTACTGATATCCTCACAGAAATCTATATAAAACACAAATTAGCTGTATTAAAGTTTCAGTTTCTGTAAACTTAATTGATACAGTTTACGAAATACAGATGAGTGGTTTGTTTTTCAGTTCACAGAATGTTTACTGTAATACAGAAGTTTTATAGTTATGAATATTCCTTCATTTTGAAATCATAGTTGTAAATAAGTCTTGGAATTTTTGTCTTGTAATTGTAATTATATTATTTTCCAAGTGTTATTAGACCTCAAGAAGTGCAGTTTTATGGATTTTTTGGCAATTAATCTTTTTCCTCCCCATTTATCTATAATTGTGTTTTGTCATGTTTTATGTAACTGCAATTATATATTATTTTCCAAGTGTTATTTAGACCTCAAGAAGTGCAGTTTTATAGATTTTTTTGGCAATTAATCTTTTTTCCCCCATTTAGCTATAATTGTGTTTTGTCATGTTTTATGTAATTGCAATTATACGTTATTTTCCAAGTGTTATTAGACCTCAAGAAGTGCAATTTTATAGATTTTTTGGCAATTAATCTTTTTCCCCCATTTAGCTATAATTGTGTTTTGTCATGTTTTATGTAATTGCAATTATACGTTATTTTCCAAGTGTTATTAGACCTCAAGAAGTGCAATTTTATAGATTTTTTGGCAATTAATCTTTTTCCCCCATTTAGCTATAATTGTGTTTTGTCATGTTTTATGTAATTGCAATTATATGTTATTTTCCAAGTGTTATTAAGACCTCAAGAAGTGCAATTTTATAGATTTTTTGGCAATTAA